TATTGATTTATAGTTTATAGCCGATTTTGACTGATTTAGAGATATTATACTCTAATAAATATCAGATTCATTTTTATAAGCAACTTTATCGATTTGTAGCCGATTTAAGAGACTACACACTGCTAAACTCAAATTCATTTTTTATTAGATTGTAGGGGTTATATAGGGTCTAATATTTACATGCATATGCACGGCTAAATCAGTTTGTGGCATGATGTACTGTATATTGTATCACATGAGATCTCCCCTAGTTCCCTGCCAGTTTCTCGATAGTTCTGGGAGAGTTCCAGGAGCTGGCGAGTTTCCATAAATCACGAGATGATTGGCCAATCAGATTATGTATAGCTAAAAAAAAGAAATGACCGGCATAGCTCATGGCGCAGTGTTTATTTTTTTAATTTGCCAAGGCGGGACATCATGTCACCAGGGCGCAGTATTATGATCTGCCGAAAGAAATGATTACGAAGCATACATTTAGCGGTGATCGTCAATGCATGGTTAAAAATTACCAGCTCGATATGGGCAAAATTTTTATAAAATGCTTTATTAATATATTTGAAATACAACTACAAGAAAACACTATTTTTCTAATTGCCGAGGCGGGACACTATGTCACCAGGGCGCAGTAGAATGGCGCAGTATTACGCGGTTCCTTTGGAACTTGCTCCTTTTAAAACTTCGGCAATTACATAATCGGTATCATCTACAGTTAGATTTAAGATGAAACCGGGAGGGGTTAACTTTACCCGTGCTATCTTTTCTTTGCCTATCGTATCGAAAATTCTAAACATCTTTCGGGCTCTTTCCATTCTTTTTTTCAAAGCATCATCAGAGAATTTCGTCTCAGGAATCTCCTTCCTAACCTCACTTTTGACCAAAGCCCTTGCTCCTTCTTTACCATAAGTGGGTTTTAGCTCCTTATATCGATTATATAAAGCTTCCCCAAAATCAAAGTAGCTGGAGATAAGGTCACGAGATGCATCTTCGTTTTTTGTTTCGGCATTGTCTATCTTATCGGAGAGTTGTAAAAAAATACTCCTGGCATCTGTTGCACAACTTGATTCCTCTGAGATTCCACCAACAACAGGAATATCGGTTAATAATTCTTCTATAAGTTGCTTTAGTGTACCCGATACCTTTTTCCCACCGGACTTTTTCATTTTCTTGCTAGACGATTTTTCGGTAGATGCGGATGATTCCCTAGTACGTTTTTTCTGTGCATCACTCGATCGTTGTTAGCAAAGCTAACTATCTCTGACATCGTTTCAGACGAAGGGCAGGTAGGGCACATCTTGCGAGAATCCTTAATGCAATCGTAATGCACAACATGTTTGCAAGGTAAAAAAATTGTTGGTTTCGTGAATTCTAGGGAGATTTCTTCGGAGCATTTCTCACATATAGGGCGTTGGATTTGCCCGCTAGAGAGTTCCTTTGAAATCGAGTCATCCAAATTTTCGGAATTGCCAGGTGTAGTGCTGACAACCTCAATTGGGCTAGTTGCCTGGTCAGAAGTTTCCTTTGCGATCACAGTAGTCTTGGACGAACTTTGCTCCTTTCCGCCTAATATCCCTAGTTCGTTCATGAGTGTTACATCATCATCCACGGGAGTCTGATTTCCTGAATCCACAGGTTTGGAGATAGTATTTTCATCAGCAGTTGTAGACTTGTCTTGCAATACTGCCGGAGAAATAGAAGTTTCGATCTCTCTGCCTTTGCAATCCCAATTTGGGCATATAGCTTTTCCACGGCGTTTCATCAGATCTCTTTCGAGACACATTTGGTGGTAAATACATCCACAGGTGGCCATGGTAAATTCTTTGATTGACCCATATGGTTCTGATCCAATGATCTCTCCTTTACATAAAATACATGGGTTCATCTTCGGGATATTAATACCAGAAGCAAGAATAGTTTTATTATTTGTGTTGAGTATATCATTGCAAGAGTTAAGACTTGTTTTTTATCCATACTGCTTATCTTTCGTTGCACATGTTTGATTTGGTCCATTTTATAGCGCTGGTAAATTTCGCAGGAGTAAGATATTGCCGGATTTTCAGCAATTACGCACTGCATTTCGTCATGATGTTAATCCCCTGCAAATCAATAAAATGACGAATGATTAGCATAGATACCCCAATCCCCATATGCGAAATGATGATTGCCTAAAAATATCTATATTCGAATATTGTTTTATTGGTATGATACTAGCAAGCTCTGGAGACATGACACGCAAAAATTAGACTCAGAAAAATTAATGTGAAATATATATGCCAATCGCACGTCGCACAGCCCCTATTCCTTCGGCAAGAATTTTCCTGATATAGTACTGCGTCGAGTGATCGATCGTTACATATACTGCGGTGATTTTTTACATAAACGATCACTTTTAAAGTCACATGATTCCGATCGTTCCCTGAGGGAACGGTTTTCTCGAAATTATCCGATTATTGTAATTTGTTTTAACTCAGCTAAGAGACAAATAAAAATCACGTGTGTGTTACAATTATGCTTTGCATGTATAAACTGCCGATATAGTATCATGATATAATAATTTATATTGTCATGCATAAAATAGACGTGGATTTATTAGTTATTAGTTATTAGTTATTAGTAAAATAAACTCTATAATTCTATCATTATCACAAATGCCAATCATTAGCTAGAGATCGTTCCTGTTTAAAAACAAGAGGTAAAAACGATTTTATTGCTTTCTCTCTATCTAATGGATCCTCTTCATTAATCATACTCCATCGAGTATCAAGTGGCCAGGGAGATGTAAAAAGTACTTTCGATAATCTTTCTCTAATTTCTTTTTTACAATTAAATGAATTGATATGTTGAATATAGATAGCCTTATTGAAAACAGCAGGTCTATTTCGTCTTTTGATGCTATCTATTTCCTTTATCATTATCTTTGGAAAATTACCTGCACCAATATCAATATATATACCCAGAATAATACCATCAAAATTATTATCAGCAAAGGCGGACACAGGATTCACTAAAATAGGAACATCAGAATCTTTGTATTTTGTTGTTTTTGCGTTCTTATTTTGAATCGAAATAATACCATAGCCTTGAGGGTATTTGAACGGAATAACATGGTCAATAACAGGAAACAATATTGGCATCTTAATAGCAGTGTGCCTGTGATATGCTTCTTTAACAAGAACTTCTGATAAATGCTTTTGTCCCCCCTTTCTCACGTAACTTTTATTGGAAGCTAACAGAGATGTCCAATGGTTAAAGCCGATTTCCGCTTGATCTAATCCCATCTTTATAAGAAGGTTATCAAGTTTCTCATCCATTCCTTTACAGAGAGTCTTCAAAAATAATGGCAAGGGAACCTTCTCCAAGTATGTAATTGGTGATTCCTGACTTATTTCTATGGCACGAATATATGCTTCTAAGAATAAGATGCGACTGACAAGTTCCCCCCTCTCTCCTGCTTCAACTACTCCACGACTAAACTGTTCTAACAATGTGTCCAAACAATCTTCAAAACCAACTTCGACAATTCCTTTTAATGCTCCAGATGCAAGAATGGGATCAGAAGGATACGTGCAAAGAAGTTCTGTGCGGTCAGGCGAGACGCCTATAGCAGTTGCCATATGAGACGCTATCAACATCTCTACTTCTGCAATTCGAGGGGAAATTTCAAAAGCAAAGGAGCAGGACATACATGCAAGATTAGCAAGATGATCCTTTTGCTTGTTACTAAAATTACGAATCTTTTGCGAAGCCAAGTGTAGAACATTGGTGAGATCAACTCCAGCTTGGGCAAGAGATCCCCATAAAGGAATTCCTAGATATAAAGTCCTTTGGTGATAGGAATTTCCGGATGGTGCAAGTCTTGCCAATGCATCTATGGTATGGACATCAAGATACGCAGGAAATAAATAATATTGATGCATCCTGGCAGAGCGAGTGTCTCTAATTTCTGGAGGAAGAAAATTACCAATTTTTCCATTTGTACTAAGGAGGATATTAAAGAATCCATTCCACATGATATTACGAATCTGTCTTCTCCAGCGAACAAAGAAGGTCTCTTCACTAGTAGTTGACATTTTTCCAAGCAACTCGTGTGCTTCATCAATGCAACAAACGACTAAGATTTCCGCTTCATTTTTATCAAATAAGCTCTTTATAAAATTCTTGTTTGACAAGAGATTACTTTGTTGCGATAACGATTCAACTGATTCTAAGACATTTTTCCAGAATTGAGTTCGAATATTTTCGTGTTCAGCTTTGATCTGCAAGTTCCAAAACTGTTCTTCGCTCCAATTATGATTTTTAATCAATTTGACCACCTCAGATAAAAGTAACCCAAATTTGTAATCCCGAATTTTTTCAAAAATTTGTTGAACATATGGTGTTGAAGCAGGATATCCACTACTGTTCTGTTGACGCTTACAAATATACAAGACGTAGACCCCTTTTGTTCTCAGTTCCCCCACGAGTCGTGTTTTACCGGAACCGGAGTTTTGAATTATTGTTAAGTAAGGGGCATATGGTTTTATCTGCTTGTGCCATTCATTATGAAATTGTTTTAGCCGTGAGTAGAATGTTTCCAGAACTGTGCCTTGATATCCAATTTGGAATGCATCTTCAATACGATTTGTTTCAATATTTTCAATATTACTCCCATCTGTAAAAAACGGTATAATAAGCTGATTAATAAGAAAGAACAAGTTGTTAACACAGAGCATCAAAGGATTCAACGTCCTTACATTCTTTCTCTTCACCTTCATTATCTGATTGTGATATTTAAGAAAAAAAAATCAGAATAAGCATTAGGTTTAAAGATATTCAAATATAATGCATACCATTTCCTTCGACTGTAATCTCATATGCATTATCTTCCGTGTTGAATAATTCAGTGACAAGTTTACTTTCCTCCAAGCTATCGCTCCCACTGCGAATGGCGATATCTCCTTTTATTTTCAACTGCGCTTTTATTATTGGAATAAGGTCACCCACATTAAATACTCTCAATACTTCCAAGATATTTTCTGGTAAAGAAACGCGTTCATCATTATAACGGATCCATAATCCCTGATCTTTTTTTGCAGTTAGATGGAATATGAGTAAGGAATGTTCAGGTATTTCACAATAAACAATTAATTACCTTGAAGTTGAAGTCTTGAGATGCCAGTTGTCAAGCTTCCTATTCCTAATAGGACGAAAGAGCATAATAAACGAAATGAAATCAGTATAGGTTTGTGAATTCGACTTATTATGGAATATCAAGCCAGGTCGCGTTGACTAAATTTATTACGACTCACTTACCACTGGGTTGATCTACGATAACGCGAATGTGTTTATTGGGCGGGTTTGACGATAAGAAGCAGGAAAGAAAAGCACAAGAATAAGTAAGTATTTGGTATTGTTGGCGAGTATAAAAGCGAGTGCAAGAGAAGTTCGCTTACCTCCTTGAATGTCTCTAATTAACTTTACAATTTTTGTGGAAGCTTTAAGAGATACTCCAAAAGCTTTAAGAGCTTCGTGCGTTAAATCAAAAAAGACTGATCCATCGACTTCTTCAGCTGTTAACGTGTCTATGTGATTATCAATGTCGCTTAAGTTCTTTTTTAGAAAGCCATTAAGATCTTTGGCATTAAGTCGTTTCACTTCCTGAAGATTAGGTGTGGCACCGGTTGAAGAACTTGCAACGTAAGACGACATTGCTTTTTGCGATGAAAAGTGTAGCACGAATGGATTAATTGAGGAAAAAAAGATCTTGGGGTTATTGGATGTATAAGCATAGCGGGCTTTCATTGTGATTGGCCAATTTTTGCAGATCGTTTTTTATTGTTGCTGAAATTCTATTGGCTGATAAAGTCACATGATTTCATATTGATCAAATCGAAAAATAATTAATTAAAAGAAAAAATAGTTAATCAAAAGACATTTAGTTAATCAAAAGCATTTAGTATAATATTTAGCCCAAATGAAAAAGATATATAATAAAAAGAATTTTATAAAATTAAATTTTTTTATTATTTATTTATAAAAATATATTGAACTATTGAACTAAAACTATTATTTACATCTTTTTGCTCATACTTCATATATAATGCATAATAACATTTTCCTAAATCATACATTCGTTAAAGCATTCACAGCCCTTTTAAAAGCAAATCTATATTATTATCTAAAGAAAGATCTTCACTACCAATATTAGTATCATCAATGGGTTTAATAACATCCTCATCTCTACCCTCATTCGTGGTTATCTTGTTAAATGAAGTCAGGGTTTTCTGATAATTCTGACAATTTTTTTCAATTCCTTTCACAAGATAATCCGTACAATATTGGCATTGACTTCCTAATTTAAATAAGTAACACTCAAAATGATAAGCATGTCTACAAATTAAAATACAACCTACCTCACATGAATTTACACAACCTTTCAAGTCATAATACCTATCTTCTCAGGGAGGATGTGTCATATTCTAAGCCATTGCCAATATTTTAACATCAACTTCAACTGTGAGAGTTGGAAGTTCATATACTTTGGGTTTTGAATGTGCATCAGATGAAACACTTTCGATTTGCCAAGATTCTGATGGACACCCGTAAAAAAATTTAACAGGAAAAGCGCAATCCATTTTTCAAGATATTCTAGTTATTTTGCTGAATATCTGATGTTGTGATCCTCAGAAAATGCATCCATAAAAGAGTTGTTACTACGCATCTGATCGATTACTCGTGCTTATCGAATAATTTGCTCCACTGTATTTGATTTCTGTATTTGTCGTCGAAGTGAACTGTGAAAATTTTCCACATAATAATCGTTAAAAATGTGGAGAAAATCTGAAAGAACTTGCGAAATAGGATGATTAGTACTAGACCAGTAGAAAATATCACTTAAAAATGCTAATGGCAATTTGTTGTAGTGTCTATGATTATATTAAAAAAAATAACCCAAACACGAAACATTGCCTTTTTGTATGCCTCCAATTTCAACTATGAAATATAATAGGATAGAAATCTAAAACTAATGGGAGGATATTATCCAGTAAATTGATAAGATATCAGACTTCCAGATCTTTGGACTGTTCAAATTTTTGCAGAACAACTAAACGCACACGAGACCAGCCTTGAGACGCAAGTTCAAGCATCAAACTAATTTTATAAGGTTTTGGCTTTTTTGCTAATACCTTCAGATGTCCAAATATCTCATGGAAAAGCTGTCAAAAACTTATAATTTGCAAGAAACACAGTTTCACAAATGTTTAAGGATACATGCAAAGGACTAATCATCAAAATGATATGCAGAATTTGTTCTGGTACTCCAGAAGAATCTCCAATTTTGATGCGGTAGTTGATGGCACAGTGTACATGAAGTTGTTCAGGGTAGTCTATAAGTGCAACTAATGTTTGCATCTTCATATAATCTCTTACTTCAGGAACATCTATCATATGTTTAACAGCTTCTATGTAATTACTAATAGAATGAAGGGAACCCTCTTTTAGATCAACTAACTTTGAATTCTCCATACTTTGATCAATTCAGCATTGTTTAATTCTATCATCATAGCTGTGAATTAAAAGGCACTCAACTCATTCATCATGTGTCTCTGATAGAAACGTCAAATCAGCAAATACTTGTTTTCGTCCTACATAACTAAGCCATAAATAAGGAAAGAAAGATGTATGAGCATTTGTATAATAATGCTTTCATCAATACCCCTTTGGTTATAAACACTCCCTTCACTCCCTTCTCACTTAGGATTGTAAAATAGGATAGAAGCCGTTTCTGGCAAGGCTTTTAGGAGGATTGTAATAAAATGAGAGACTTCATGTGTAGTCGTTATATTACTATGACGGTACTTGTGAATGTTGTGAAAATTATCCACATTGAGAACAACCAGGCTTCTTATCTTTGAATAAATTACACATGTTAGCTGATTATTTACAAGTCATAAAACAATAAATATTCATATACCTACGTTATTCAATAAAAACTTTCCTACTGTCACCATATGCGTTTCTGCATACTGAGCTTTATGTCTTGTGGTAGTTTCACGTCTTACCATTAAGCCTGCATCAGCTAAGATTTCTATCATCGACGAAAATGCTCCAGATCAGTCTAATAAAAGCTCAACTTCTACCTTAACTCCATTAATAAACTTATTATTAAGTCCTGCGAGAAAATAACAAAATGAAACCAATCTTTTTTTATTTTTCTCATTAGTCATGTGGTTTTTTGCTTGTGGGTTAGTTCCGGCTACTAATTGATCAAAAAAACCATTTAACGACAGTTCAGCTTTCTCAAGCATATTCTTGAAATCTTCTGAATTGAGAATAGGCTTTTCGTTAAATACACGTTATCTTGTGTACAAAACTTCCGACATTAGTTTAATTTTTTTACCAAGAGGAATTAACCCTAAAAAAATATCAACTATATAAAAAAAAAATTCATAATACAGCTACAAATAAAGTTAATTACTTACCTAGGT